CCTGCATCAGCCACCATAGTAAGTAGCTGGGATTGTAGGTGTACACTAGTATGCCTTGCCTCAAATAATTTTTTTAAAATTACAGTAAAAATACTGTGTATCAGAATTCTTGACATGTATTTAAATAGTGATCAGAGGAAAATTAGTTGTACTAAACACATCAATAAAAATGAAAAAATTGAATTAAATTCCTAGCTCAAATTTAAAAACGACAGCAAATGAATCTAAAGAATAAGAATGTATATGTGCACTGAATGTATATAGAGGAAATACTTAAGGCAATTTAAAGTGGTGGCACGTGGGGCAAAGGGACCTAAATAGAGGTGAGATTTCTCCACTTTACTAGAACTGACAAATTGTCTCTATCTTTGAGTGATAAATTATATGTGTATGTTATACTTAGAGCAGCCATTAAGAAAACTATACAAGGTAATATATTAATACTGAAAAATACTAGAGATAAGATGGAATTCTAAAGAAACAGTTCAGATAACCAATGGGAAGCCAACAGAAACAGAAGAACAAGAAACAGAACACATAAAAACAAAAGTCAATCCTATACCTGTCATTAATTTGATGACTTATAATAGATAAGATGTGACTCTCTCAAAATCCTTTTTCATTCTCAGATAAGAGTAAAAATAATTGCTTTTGACGAGGCACAGTGGTCAAAAGCCTGTAATCCCAGCACTTGGGAGGCCAAGGTGGGCAGATCACCAGGTCAAGAGATTGAGACCATCCTGGCTAATATGGTGAAACCCCATCTCTACTAAAAATACAATTAGCCAGGCATGGTGTCGCACACCTGTAGTCCCAGCTACTGGGAAAGCTGATGCAGGAGAATCACTTGAACCCGGGTGGCAGAGATTGCAATGAGCCGGGATCACGCCACTGCATTCCTGCCTGGGGGACAGAGCGAGACTTTGTCTCAAAAACTAATAATAATAGCTCTCAACAGATTGCTACTGTAAACAATCTTTGTATGCTGGTGCACTTCATCATGAGTTTCTTTGGGGTTTATGCATGCCTAGGGATACAGGAAGACCTTCCCAGTTATTGGTAGTTTTAAGGGAGTGAATTTCTAGACCACAGTTTTCATTTTTATTGTCTCCTTACATAAGGGGGAGACTCTTCTCTCTTCCTTGTCTTCATATAGCTGCCTCCTCTTGGCAGACCCTTCGGATGATGCCCCAGATGTAAAACTCTCTGAAGCGCCACTCTGAAGGATTACTGAAATGAGTCATTTCCAGGATGCATTTTTTACTGTTGAATGAAAGCACCCTAAGACTTGGGCCTTCCCTGACTTTAGTCATATTTCTGTTCACAGTGAAGCATTACTTTAGATACAGGGTATACAGGACCTTAGAGGGCTCTGAAACTGGGTATTTCAGCAAGGTGGATGTGATGGTGATTTTCTCTTAACTGTCCCTCCTCACCTATTCCATAAACACTGTCAAATAATGTCCCACTTTTGACAGAGATTACGGTGAGAAAAGGGCTCTGATAAAAAATTCTGAATACTTAAAATCATATCCATACTTATGCACACATATACACACATTTTTAAAGATAAACACTGTTCATTACGAGGTGATTTGAAAAATACTTCAATTGAGTGCCACCTAATTAGAGCCAATCCCAGTGGCCTTACCTGGTTATGGAAACCCTTTCTTCAGCTCTGCTCAATACTCAAGAGTTTGAGGGCCGGCTAACTGGTAAGATTACCAACTTTAAACAACCACAGCTATATACTAGTGGTTCTCATTGTTTTACTTTCCTCTAATAATTTTTTAATATACAGTAAAATGTAGATTTTAAGTGCACATTTTCATAAATTTATTTGACCCTAAACAAGACCTGGCATATTCCCCTCATTTCAGGAATTTCCCTCAATATCCTTCCCTGTCAAAACGCCCAACTCAGAATCACCAGCTGTTTAGGTTTCTCTCACTATAAATTTTTTTTTCTCTTCTAAAGCTCAAATAAATGGAATCATGCAGTGCATACCATTTTTGTGTCTGGCTTCTTGTACTTAACATTTAATTTTTGAGATTTGTCCATGGTATTTTATCTATCACTAGATTTTTGTATTTGTGTAGTATTTTATTGTCCATAAATATGTACAATTTGTTTATTTACCTGTTGCTGGACATTTGGATTGTTTCTAAGCTATTATGAATAAACCTTTTATGAATAACAGAACAATAAAAATGTACAAAAAAGGAAATAATAAAGATAAAAATTATAAGGAAGGAAACTTAGATGTAATTAATCAAATTCTTTTTGGCTTTTAAAAATTTTAATGCCTCATTTAAAAATACATTATGACCAGCTGGGATTTATTCCAGGAATGCAAAGTTGGTTCAGTTTTTCACTCTATTGATAGGCTATATCAAACTATTGAATCTAAAGGAAGAAATTATATGATTATTTCCAATACTATGATGATGGTTTGATTGTCTTTAAATCTAGTGTCATATTTAATAGGAACACATGAGAGACATTTCCACTGACATCAGGAACTAGGCAAGGATGTTCACTGCACATTATATTAGAGGGTACAGTGCAATTAGAGGCATAAGAAAGGCTAAAAAAGTAAAAATGTGCAAATATCAGTACCTTTCATGTACACAAACAGAAGCAGATAGAGAAAGGGCTTGATGATAGAGAAAAATCCCATTTACAGCCAACTTCATAGTTGTTTATCAGATGAAATGCTTCTATTCCTTTTGCTTTTGGCTTTCCCTAGCCAGTAATTTTGCCCTCCCCAGGAGACATATGGCAATGTCTTTAGACATTTTTTATTGTCAGGAAGAAATGTGTATGGGTGCTACTGGTAGAGGACAAGGATTCACTTAAATATCCTGCAGTGTACAGGACAGCCTCTGACAAGAAATAATTATTTAGTACAAACTGTCGTTAGTTTTGAGATTGATAAACCCTGCCCTAAACATACCTGATTTCCAGTGTTTGTGTTTAGAGTTATGGGTTGCTAGGTTTTCTGTACCTTTGACTGATATAATAATTACTCCAGTTTAAGAGTGAAACAACAAAGAAAAATAAAAGAAGAATTAGTTTCCTTTAGTAATGGACAATAATAGAAGTAACTTACTTTACATAGCATTGTGTAGCAGAGTTTTGTAGACTTTGTCTTTATAAGTGTAGTAGGTCATATTTATCTCTATTTTACTGATAAAGGAACTTACCTATTTCTTCTGGCTTTCAGGGATTAAATCATCTTGGAGGAGTGGGTAGTTAGTTTCAGAGTAAGCTAGTTGTTCATTTGTAAAAAAGGTCATACCCACCTTTTCTTTCCCAGAAGCTTATTTTAGTTCTAGTTAAATATAGAAGAGGTTCTGGGCCTGGAAAGTTGATGCTTATTCTGTATTTTTCATTGAATTGGATCTTATTATCTACAAATAGTAGTTATGAATATTATGGCACTTCTAATAGAACTTTTTGCTGTGATGGAAGTGACTTATAAATCTTGTGTTGTTCACTGTGGTAGCTAGTGGCCATATGTAGCTATTTAGATTTACATTTGTTAAGATCAAACAAAATTTTAAATTCAGTTCTTCTTAGTTGTATCAGTTTTGTTTCAAGTGCTCAGTAACGCTGGAATACTTTCTATAGTTTCTATTCTATAGAACTATAGCTACTTTCCAGTCTATAGCTCCTTAAGGGACTTTATATCAACAGCATTGTTATTTAATTTTAAAAATGGAAATTGGGACCGGGTGCAGTGGTTCGCATCTATAATCCCAGTGCTTTGGGAGGCCAGGGCAGGTGGATCACTTGAGGCCAGGAGTTTGAGACCAGTCTGGGCAACCTAGGGAGACTCCCATCTACAAAAAAATTAAAAATTAACAAGTTGTGGTGAGATGGGGTCTCGCTATCATTGCCCAGGTTTGTCTCAAATTCCTGGCCCCAAGCGATCCTCCTGCCCTAGCCTCTCAAAGTGCTGGGATTACAGGTATGAAGCCCCAGTGCCTGACTGACCCTGCTTTGGTTACAGGTACATAAGCCCTTGAGGGAATCCTGGGGGGGGGG